ATGACAACTTGAGAGAAGCCAAACCCTATTCGTAAACCCCTCTTCACCGACTTATGTTCTACTTAGTCTAAATTATTTTCTTATGTTCCAATAAATCCTATAGATAATATAGTTACCAAAATATCACTAATAATAACGGGGTGAAGAGCGCATTAACATTCACATTAACAGTATGAATGTTCCATGATTTGAACATTTACACTGTCAAATTTATTTAATATGAATGTTTACATCATGTAACATTTATACTGTCAATGTGAATATTCATATTGTCAAATTTATTTATTTATTTTTATTTTATAAAATTATATATTCAAGTGAGATCTTATTTGATAGGTCTCGTTAAGTAGGTGTCAAAAATATAAATTTCATATATATATATATATATATGTACAATAAAATTATGAATTTTTGAAAGTTTAATATATAAAAAGCATATAATAGTTCAAAATAGTGCACATCAAGTTGCTAATGGTTCAAAAAACATCTGTAAGGGTAAAATTATCCATAAAATATCTTAATTATGAGAATTAAGATTTGGTCGATCAAATGTTCAAATAATAGGATTTATTGAAATATAAAAATATATTATGGATTAATTGAAATACAAGTACTTAAAAAGAAAGTCTTTTAATAAATTCTCCTAAATTAAAACCATATTCTCATATAAAATGATTTATTTTTAATTTTCCACTAAAACCCTAGCAATTAGTGGCTTATGAGATGGATGTTGGGCCTTTTGTTGTTGGTACTCCTATTGGACAAAATACTATTCAATTGTAATTGAGTTGTGTGGGGCCGTGCCTTTTTTGAGTCTAAGGTATTACTTTCTACACCGACTTGCTTTATTGACATAGAATCGCCACTTAATTTTAAAAGGGAATTAAGAAACCTTTTAACAAGGAAAACTAAGTTAATGCCTAATCCGTCACAACCAAAAAAATTCTGGGTTCGGGAGAAGGTACAAAAGGGGAAGACCATTTTCATGGAAGTATCCCATTTTGCCAATCCAAAGATTGACCTCTACCTATTCTCTATTTTATGATTTTAGTTGTTAATTGTTCGCAAAAATTCATTTTCGACTTATATCCCTTAACTAACCTAAAGCTATGTGATTTGAAGAAAAATGAATATCATATATTTTAGATTAAATGAATAAAACCATATTTACATAAAAAATAATTTTTCAATGGAAAAAGTGGATTTTGACAATCCATTACCTTAAACATAAATTAAAATATGCAGTATCCACAAAAGCATACAAAACACGCAATTTTGCATAGAATGAGCAACTAGCTTGGATTATTGAAAAGCAATGCAATAAACACAAGCACATGCTATGAAGATTTAAAAGATTTACCTTGATGCCCACTTTACGCGTCTTACATGCAATACATAAAATAAATATAACCTAAAATATGCAACTAGACATACAAGAATGATCTTAAGCCCGGTTTGAGACTACTAATGATGCTTATGCACAAAATACAACTAACAAGTAAAGAACATAAAATAAACTAACTATATGATGATTCAAACTAGGCCATATATGTTGATTATATGATTAAAACAAACCTAAAAACATGCTACTTCTAATAAAAACGAATGAAACATATGAGAAAATGGAAGAAAGTGAAAAAACTAAAGAACTGCATGATGAGAGGATGAGCTAATATCCTAACATGCTTTGGATATTGAAATAAGAGATCAAAAGCTACTGAAATTAAAGGGAAGGTGAGAGATTACTTGCTGTTTTAAAGAAAATGCAAGAAAAGGCGAGAAAATCTTGCTTTTTTGCTTGCAAACCTCCCTCAAGCATAGGTTTTGATTTGAGTTTGTGTTCTTCAAGCCTTAGGATGTTTCAGAAGTTTAAAGTTGCCTTGGGGTGTGTTATTTTCAGAGTTAGGGAAGAAGAGGGAGAGGAGGTGAATGTTTTGGCTCTTAAACTTGCAAAAAGGCTTCCAAATCCTTACCTTGAAAAAGAGGAGAAGGCCTTTATATAGGCAGTGGGAGGTATTGAAGGGGAGGAGAAGGGGGGGGAGCTAGGGCAACCCCCATCGCTTACTCTGCCGCCTCCTTTAAAAAATGCATCAAAATTGGGTTTCCACACTTGAATTTGTGATGCTTCAATGTGCGCGCTCACATCTAACGTGCACGCGCGCATTTCGCCTTGGTAGACGTGTCATGTATGCATGCACAAGTACGGAGTCCCATGCCCTTGGCTTGCTTGTGGCACAAGTAAGCTTGAATTGCGTTCTGATCAATGTTTTTGATAAAATGGGCCACTAATTTTGAAAAATACAATCAATCAAAGGACAATCAGGCTATATGGGGCTAAGAAATTGATTTTTGGCTAAAAACGGAATCTAGGGGTAAAATGGTTATTTTTGCAAAAATTTAATTTTTTTGCCAAAACAAGTTTATACAACAACTTTAAATAACTTTAAACATTCTAAGCCTGAAGTAAGTACCGTTTCATCATCGGGAGGCTTGCAAGTGCCTAAAGTCTTAGGGTCAGTGAAAATAGGGTGTCTACAATTGCCTCTCTTTGATAGAGCTCAAATAATCATGAAGTGATGAGAAACAAATGTCAAAGATCCAAGACTATCCTAGTTGACATGACCCTAAGGCTTAAGGTAGTGCCATACATTCCTGTAAGTGATTGAACCCCCAAGTTGCCTATATATCATTGATGTAAGGAATCAGATCAGTATAGTTCGGGGGTGACCTTATAACAATTCATGCATGAGTGAGTGTGTGCAACAAGCACTCAAGCATTCATCCAAGCATGCATCAAAGTAGAGGAGAGCAAGCGATACCTGTCATACTCACCTCGCCGTACCTATGCCAAGTTCCTTTCCGTTCTTTTCCAGGTTGTGCCAATCCTACAATTTTTTTCAAAGAAAGCTATCCCAAATAATAAAGCACACCGCGATGTGGTTAGAATGATTAGGATGCCATATATACCATTTTATGCTCATTTTAACAAGGCAAGGGTGTGCCAATGTGTGCCATGCTCTTATCAATGAGTCATAGAGGTACTAAATGTCAAGTGATGCCATTATGATGTTAATAACGCCAATATATGCCATTTTATGCTCGTGTTGACGAGGCAAGTGTATGCCATTTCAAGCTTGTATCAACGAGCCATGGGTTTGCCAATGTCTGTTATTCCATGTTCGTGTATTGACGAGCTATGATTTTAATGGATGTCATTCCACACTCGTATCGGTAAGTCGTGGGGTTTATATGCCAGGTGATACCTTTCATGCTCGCATCGGCAAGACATGGGGGTTTAAATGCTATTCCACGCTTGCATCAACAAGACGTAAGAATTTAGATGCCAAGTGGCGCCTTTCCATGCTCACATTGGCAAGACATGGGGGTTTAAATTCTATTCCACACTCACATTGGCAAGATGTGGGATTTTAAATGCCAAGTGTGCCTTTCTATGCTCGCATCGACAAGACATAGGGGTTTAAATGCAATTCCATGCTCGCATCGGCAAGATGTGAGATTTTAGATGCCAGGTGGTGCCTTTCTATGATCGCATTGGCAATACACAGGGGTTTAATTGCTATTCCACGCTTGTAACAGCAAGACATAAGAATTTCAATGCTAAGTAGTGTCTTTCCATGCACGCATCGGCAAGACACGGGGGTTTAAATGCTATTTCACACTCGCTTCGACAAGACGTAGGAATTTAGATGCCAAGTGGTGCATGGGAGTTTAAATCCTATTCCACAATTGCATCGGCAAGACATGGGAATTTAGATGCCAAGTTATACCAAATGGTTTGAATTTTGCCGATATGTGTTAAGTGGTGCCAAGTGTTTGTCAGCGTGTATTGGGTGGTGTCATATGCCAAGTTTTATCAAGTGGGTGCCAAATTTGCCAGTTGTTTGCTGTGATGCCAAAATGTGATTTTTAAGAATATTTTTGCTATGTCGAATGTGTTGGGTGCCAATGCCAATTGCCATGGATGATAGGATAATGTGCTTCGAAAGGCATGCCAATGCCTGAAATGAGAAGATGGGGGTGCCTCGACAAGTGTGCCAATGCATGTGCCTTGAAAGACGTGCAATAATGTTCCTTGAAAGGCATGCTAATGCCTGAGTTTGAGTTTAGAATATGCCCATGCATTGAGGATGTCCAGAGGGTGCGATAGATTGGCCATTCATGAGAGCTACATATGGGCCAATATAAAACGTGCGCGATGATGAAAGGATGAAGCTACCGACCTAGCATGCTTAAATATCAAAATAAAAGCAAAAAGAAGATTGAAATATGAAGAGAATAGAGAGTTACCTTCTAGTTTTGAGAAACCAAAGAGCAAACACAAAGAGGAGCAAGAGAAGCCAAGTTCCTTTCTTACAAGCCTCCCTCAAGCTTTGGTTCCAAGTTAGGGTTCAATGGTTTCAGTCCTTAGGTATTTTCAGAGACCTAGAGTTGCTGTGAAGGTTTACTTTTCAGAGCTAACACTTTTAGCGACTAATTTTTTTATCGCAAAAAGAGCTTATGTGGTTACAGATAGTATTTAGCGATCACAAAAACTCTTGTTGCCATTTAGTCGCCAAAAGCCCATCTTTCTAGCGACCACAAGTATAGTTGGTTACAAAAAGTTACCATTTACGATTACATATTTTAGTTGCGGAAAGAATCTACATTTTTTAATTTGATGTTACATGTAATGTTTTTATTTAGTAATACTCTGATGAACGAATTAATAGATTGTTTCTTTAAATAATGCATGTTGATGATATACTTATATTGGGTTTATTTTGAGGGCGTTACATCCATGGTGTCACCAATGGTTATTCTTGGAACCTTCTTAAAGATCTACTGCAACTAGTTGCAAAAAACCTTTCAATTTACAAAATTATGTTTTCAAATGTAATGATTTTTTTTTTAATGCCTAGAATATATTTGCAATTAATGCATAAATCATGTCAATCCAATCAATTTTAACATATATACCAACCCATCAATTATCCAATCTCTAACAACAAAAAAAGGCAGTAATTAATCTATTTAATGACAACCACGTGTCAACATCAACACATTACAAGTCCAAAATAACTATCCATCCATTTTGTTTACTACGAATTCGCCACATCAAAAACATGTCATATTTGTCTGATGCGAAATATATCAAAAACTCCACGTATAAGCACAACTCTCAGTTAATGCATCGGCAAACTCATGACCATAAACACGCATGATTGCACCTCTACCTACAATAAAAAAAATGAAGAACGCGTTATTATTAATAATAATATTTTTGCTTACATTTCTATTTTATTTTGTAAAAATCTGTGTAATTAAATTTACTGTGGATCCAACCCCACTCCCAAAACCAGCAATCACACACAGCCTTACTGGCCCAGTTGAAAAAAAAAAGAAACACTTACTGCCAAGCAAAGCAAAGCTCACGCTTTGTTGAACTGAACAATCACAGCCAACAACTTTCTATTTCAAGGACAACGTAAAGCCCAACTCATCAACGACCACATCACTAATTTTTTTTCGAGACTCTGTTACAGTCAAATTTACAGAGTCAGGCTTTATTTTCATTTCTAATAGCTCTATAAAAAGAAAAAAATAGAAGAAATTGAAGGATTAAAGAAGATGGGTTGGCCTTTTGGTGAAGAAAAGAGTTGTTTGTGTTGTGTCCATATTTTCTCCGCATTTCTTGGAGAAAAACGAGTATTCTTTGATCCAACCAACAACTATACACCCCATCCCTTATACTATTATTCTTATTATATATATGATGATGGGTTTTAATGATAATGAACAAGTGTTTTCTGTGCTCATCTTGAAACAAATCCTCCATCAATCTAGATTTAGATCTCTCTAATGGAACAAATCAATGGACAAATACACTCCAGACTTCAATGCATTGGGGGAGGTAATCAAGGATTGTTGTTGTTGTTTTTATTTTATTTTATTTTTTTGAGAACATCAAAAAGAAAACTTTATTGATAAAGAATATAGTACAAGACAACAAACAAACATCAATAAAGAGAGTGAAGTGCAAAGAGCATCAAAGCACAACTAAACGATCCTAACTAAGTTGGTACCGAAAACCAACAACCAAACCCCAAAAAAAAAAAAAAACTAAGTTGGTACTAAAAAGAAAGTCTAATCATTTGCTAGCATATCACCAATTTGGTGAGAAACCAACAACCAAAACCAAAAAAAAAAGAGAGAGAGAGAGACAAACAACTAGAAGGACCAAAGAGCAGCACTTCTAGACTCATTACACACTGACAGCTAACAAACTGATATTGCAAACCATCTGCTGGTGAATCACACTATTGCCAAAGCATCCAGCAAAATGCATTTAAAATATGGCAAGATAGCAGCAACAATTCGTTAATCCAATCATAGCATTAACACACAAAACAGCCAACTTATTCTCACCAAAATCAATTTCAATCATTCCTCCAAAATTAAACAAAAGCAACAGGGCAAGGAGAGCAAGAAAACCATATGGCACCAAGATAAATATCAATGAGCATACCACTATCTACAGTTTAAGTTAACATCACCAGCAACTTTTTGAAATAGCAACTCCCATAAATATCAAATCACCAAAAAAAAAAAAAAAAAAAAAAGCAGTCAAACAAGACAAAGAAAAACTACACAGTTCCAAGACAAGATCAGCCACAGTAAAGCAGCCATTTCGTCCATCGGGCATATTTTCAGCCATCAACTCACTATAAGTTTCATAAACAAAAATTTATAGATTTTATTGTTAGAATTATGTACTAAAATTTAAAGTACTTACTCATCAGAAGAGTTGTATCCACTATGATTGCCCCGCATTTCTTTGATGAAGTGTTCGAACTCCGCAAACGTCCTTCATATGCTTGAACTTAGTAAAGCAGCCATTTCGTCCATCGGGCATATTTTCAGCCATCAACTCACTATAAGTTTCATAAACAAAAATTTATAAATTTTATTGTTAGAATTATGTACTAAAATTTAAAGTACTTACTCATCAGAAGAGTTGTATTCACTATGATTGCCCCGCATTTCTTTGATTAAGTGTTCGAACTCCGCAAACGTCCTTCATATGCTTGAACTTGTCCTTTCAGTGATGCTACCTCTTCTTTAAGGACAAACCAACTTAGATGATTATTTCAAATGTTTCAAAGCGTTGATATAAGGACAAACCAAGCCAAGCCAAGCCAAAAGTAAACTAAAAATTTGATGAACAATGATGATGGCGAATATATATCAAAACAAAAAGGAACAATAGAGAGGCCTAATTAAATTGAGCTTACACCTAATATTGATGAGGAATATATTGCTATAAATATAACTACAAGTCGTGGCACAAGCAATGCGATAGACATATTTCTTCTCTAATTAGGTGTTACCGAAGAGTTAAAGAGAAGATAGAAAAAGTAGAGATGAAGGGAAAAAAAAATTCGTCTAAAAAAATCACATAAAAACAGCTTCAATTAAAAGCTAACATTGTTGTTTTTCTTTTTAAATTCTTATTTGACAAATTGAAAAGGAATTGAGTTAGACATCTTTCTTCTTTAATTAGGTGTTACCAAAGAGTTAAGAGAAGATTAAAAACGTAGAGAGGAAGAGAAGAGAAGAGAACTCATCTAGGGGAGGGGGGGAAAAAAAAAACAGGGGTCATTCCAATTCTATGCTAGATTGAAGTTGTGTTTATATAAAACAATCATAAAATACAATGGGTTCATAAAATACTTACCTGATTCCTCTTCAAGACACCAGCAATCCAATCCATCACTTGTCATCAGAGACCTAAGAGCTACAATGGAAGCATTTGAGGAACCTGCTGATACATATGATTTCCCAAATAGATGACTGTTCTAGTAAACGTTGTGTGTGTGTGTGCAACCACAACATGCATCTCTTTTCTTCTACAAATTTTTGTAACAGTTATGGCTGCTTCTATGGTCTCTAGTATGAAATGAGTTCTTGAGTATTTCTTTCTAAGAGCATTTTCTCAGTAAACAACCATAATTGCATCACTTACTTTGCTTTTCCTTTGTGTAATCCATGTGAAAGGATTCAAATTTAAAAGTAACCCAAAAAAGATTTTAAAGTCAACTGCCATTGACTAAAAGTCATCATTCTACTATTCAGTTTAAAAAAACAGACAGACAATAAAGTTATTTTTAATCTACTTATATGAGGATAAATAAATCACATACTAGACCCGTAATGGCGTGAAAGAATTCAAGTACATATCACATTTCCCCTCTATAACCTCCTGATCCAAAATAATCCCTCCTAGTAGAGCTAGCAATTGCCTGGCTTTTCTGATACTCTAACTTGGGGCAATCACGGATTCAGTGCCCAAGTCCACCACAGTAGGCACAGCCTTTAACTCCGCTAGCATTGGTGATAGCATCAACATCTTCCATGGGATCATTAAGCTCGGCCAAAACTGGTGGTATTCTCTGCTTTGCTTCTTGCAAAAAGTGCTTCAAGTCAAGAAGAGTCGTCTCACTTTGATTCTTGTTAATGAATGTTGTAGCTATTCCTGTCTTGCCACATCTTCCTGTTCGTCCAATCCTATGGACATAATTCTCAATTTCAGCAGGCATATTGTAATTGATAACATGCTGAATGTCTGGAAAATCCAAACCCTTCGAGGCGACATCTGTTGCAACCAAGGCATCTTTCTTGCCTGCTTTGAAAGACGAAATGGCATATTCTCTCTCCTCTTGATCCTTGCCTCCATGAATTGCAACTGCTTCAACTCCTTTCAAAAGAAGATATTCATGAATATCATCCACATGAGCTTTGTTCTCACAGAATATCAAAACTGGAGGAGGGGTCTTTTGCAAGCATTCAAGAAGGTAAACAATCTCTGTTTCTTGCTTCACATATTCCACCTCTTGAATCACGTCGAGATTTGCTGCTCCAGCTCTTCCCACGTTAACTGTAACAGGTTTAACTAGAGCACTTCTAGCAAAATTTTGAATCTTTGTGGGCATGGTGGCAGAAAATAAAAGGGTCTGTTTTGAGCTTTGAAGTGATCAAACACTTCTCTGATGTCATCTTCAAAACCCAGATCCACCAATCTATCTGCCTTATCTAGAGTTAAATACCCGTAAGAAGCAATATTGTAAAGACCATAACATAGAAATAAGTACAATGTGGTTCAAACATAAGATTATAAAAAGTGACAAATCCGATGCCAACCATAATATCAAACATGCTTACAAACCTGGCACAAAGGCACACTATATTATATCATGTTAATTGACAATCAGTTGTCAACTTTCAGTTTCACATTGCTTTGCTAATGCATCACAAGCAAGCAAAATTGAATCGGCAAAGCATCACACATCCAACTATACATCCTGATTGAGAATTCAATGCAAAATGAAAATATTAAGTTTGTGAAAGTGTGTGAGCCACTAGGAAGCACGGATATGAATACGAGATACGAATATGGCAATACAACAAAATCTATAAAATTAGAATACGAGTACGGCTAGGATATGTTTGTAAAAAAAATATTTTTTTAAAAATTATTAGTAGTGTTTTGATATTTTAGATATTTTCCTAGTCTTAATTTCCCTTTCTTCTATTTTATCAATACGGATAGTAAGAAAGCATGAATAGGCCTACATGGGATGGAAGGAGAGAAGGACTAAACGACAAAAGGAAATACCTGTTTGTTTGCCTTGGAATGCTGGAGGTTATGCGGCCCTATGTTATTAATGATAGATGACGAAGGTTTTCTATCACTACTTACGATAACAAAATATTGGGATGTCAATCCTTTCCGCTAGAGCTTCATGGGCGTTGCACCGTTCCCCAATCAGTTGTTTGGACGTGAGCTATACTCCGTGAGGAGCCAATCGGGCGTATGGCCTTGCCTTGCCATTTGACCTCTCTTCCCGTGTGACTAGGAATGCTCAATGAAAACCTCTCAATTGTCACTGCCTGGCCTCTCTTTGATGTGATTGACTTTGTGATTGTCAATCTCCCCAATCACATAAGGCGATTGTGTTCAGTTGTTTTCAGCATGAGGTCGACGTTAGTGAAGGTGACAACAGCCGAATACTGGGCATACAAGGCCCCTCATGTTCCCTAATAGGTTGTATTCCCTCCGCTATTGGCTATGGGAAGAGAGCTAATGGAGAGTTCCCGACCTCCTTACTTGAAGAGTGTATTTAATGAAACTTATTAGTATCTAAGAGGGTAGCAAGAAAAAGGACATAGGTTCAAAAAGAAGGGAAGTGAGAAGGTCAACACTGTTGCTCTGATCCAGACCAGGTGTTGTTGGTTGAGCTTGACCCTGCTCATTTAACAATTGTCGATACCAGTTAGTTACGCATATTGTATACTCACATGTTAGTGGTGGCAAAATGGCCCGACCCGCTGGTGGAATGGGTTTGAGAGTGATTAAATAGGGTAGGGTCGGGTTTAGGAAAAATAGTGGGCAACCCAAACGGGTCGGGATCAGGGAGAGTGAGTTTTATGCCCGTACTCGACCTGCCCCGCCCCGTGTATATTTCAATAAATAAATAAAAATATTACTGTAGTCCGTACTGCTACCCTTATATGTATAAAAGGCAGATAACACCTCACCTAGGTTTAACCTTTTACCTTCCATCTCAATCTCAAATGGCGCCTCCGACTACATCTTGACCCTATGCTAATGCATCACAAGCAAGCAAAATTGAATCGGTAAAGCATCACACATCCAACTATACATCCTGATTGAGAATTCAATGCAAAATGAAAATATTAAGTTTGTGAAAGTGTGTGAGCCACTAGGAAGCACGGATATGAATACGAGATACGAATATGGCAATACAACAAAATCTATAAAATTAGAATACGAGTACGGCTAGGATATGTTTGTAAAAAAAATATTTTTTTAAAAATTATTAGTAGTGTTTTGATATTTTAGATATTTTCCTAGTCTTAATTTCCCTTTCTTCTATTTTATCAATACGGATAGTAAGAAAGCATGAATAGGCCTACATGGGATGGAAGGAGAGAAGGACTAAACGACAAAAGGAAATACCTGTTTGTTTGCCTTGGAATGCTGGAGGTTATGCGGCCCTATGTTATTAATGATAGATGACGAAGGTTTTCTATCACTACTTACGATAACAAAATATTGGGATGTCAATCCTTTCCGCTAGAGCTTCATGGGCGTTGCACCGTTCCCCAATCAGTTGTTTGGACGTGAGCTATACTCCGTGAGGAGCCAATCGGGCGTATGGCCTTGCCTTGCCATTTGACCTCTCTTCCCGTGTGACTAGGAATGCTCAATGAAAACCTCTCAATTGTCACTGCCTGGCCTCTCTTTGATGTGATTGACTTTGTGATTGTCAATCTCCCCAATCACATAAGGCGATTGTGTTCAGTTGTTTTCAGCATGAGGTCGACGTTAGTGAAGGTGACAACAGCCGAATACTGGGCATACAAGGCCCCTCATGTTCCCTAATAGGTTGTATTCCCTCCGCTATTGGCTATGGGAAGAGAGCTAATGGAGAGTTCCCGACCTCCTTACTTGAAGAGTGTATTTAATGAAACTTATTAGTATCTAAGAGGGTAGCAAGAAAAAGGACATAGGTTCAAAAAGAAGGGAAGTGAGAAGGTCAACACTGTTGCTCTGATCCAGTCCAGGTGTTGTTGGTTGAGCTTGACCCTGCTCATTTAACAATTGTCGATACCAGTTAGTTATGCATATTGTATACTCACATGTTAGTGGTGGCAAAATGGCCCGACCCGCTGGTGGAATGGGTTTGAGAGTGATTAAATAGGGTAGGGCCGGGTTTAGGAAAAATAGTGGGCAACCCAAACGGGTCGGGATCAGGGAGAGTGAGTTTTATGCCCGTACTCGACCCGCCCCGCCCCATGTAT